ACTAGATGTTGGGCTTGATGTTGGAACACCAGACGTTTGTGTGTGCGGTGAACACACGAACAGTAAGGGCATTTGGCAGGCTGTTTATCTGTCACGCCCCACAATGCACTGCACTCGGGCAGTGCATTGTGATTGCCCTAACATGATGATGTCACAAGGGGGCGGGATCACTCAGTTGATGACACCAGGTGGCCCTGCCCCTTAGATATTTAAGAAAGCAAGGAGCCAGCATCAAGAGCTGAGCTTTTTTTTTTTTCTTTTTTCAGGTCGGTGGTGGTGGCAAGCATCGCATTTGACATTGCATCTACTTTGATGGACATTTTTTACCTTTTTGTTTTTAATAAAGGACTTGTCAACGACTGTCTACTGTCATTTTACAATACACTTTTTTTGGTGAATGAGTAGCAGTACCATGTACCTCATACTAATTCACATGGGGGGGGGCAGGATCTCGGAGCTCCCTTGTTAAAAGAGGCTTCCAGATTCCGATAAGCCTCCCACCTGCAGACCTCCACAACCATCGGCCACGGTTGTGGGGAAGAGGCTGGCAAACCATTAACCAGTGGCACAGATCAGCCATCTATTAAAACTCCAAAATATTACCAAGCCTGAAACAAGAAAAGGGAAGTCTAAAGAGATTGAACTAGTATGAGTGAGGAATTTCAAGCCTCAAAAATATGGCAATGCCTGTCCATCCATTCACAATAAAATGGATGGAGTGCAATAGAAACAGATACATAATTAACAAGGACTTTAAACTTAAATATTGACAAACAAAATGTTCTCAGAGAAAAAGAAATAACATATTGTACAGTTGTGGCCAAAATTATTCAACCCCCAATGCTGTAAAGGGGTTTAGGGACTATAGTGTACATTTGGAATTGTATTCAGAATCAAATCCTACAAGGACGTTGTAACTACCCAAATGCAACTAAAATGACATCAATTGTTTATGTAATACAGTAGTAAATGGTTCTTATGTGGTTTCTTCATTGCCACAATTATTCAACCCCTTAAAGACTACCACTCTGAAGAACAGAGGTTCATACAGGTGCTTTCCATCAGGTATTGAAAACACCTGTGGATGTCACCGAGCAGCAATCAAGCATAATAAGCACCAATTAGGCAGCTTTAAAATGACTGTGATACTCAGCTCCTTCTAGACATTTACTGGTGTGGTTACAAACATGGTGAAGGCAAGAGAATGGTCCAGGAAGACAAGAGAAGAGGTGATTTCTCTTCACAGGAAGGGCAATGGCTATAAGAAGATTGCAAAGATGTTAAACATACCAAGAGACACCTTAGGAAGCATCATTCGCAAATTCAAGGCAAAGGGCACTGTTGAAACGCTACCTGGTCGTGGCAGAAAGAAGATGCTGACTTCGACTGCTGTGCGCTACCTGAAGCGTAGAGTGGAGAGAAGTCCCCGTGTGACTGCTGAGGAACTGAGAAAAGATTTGTCAGATGTGGGTACAGAAGTTTCAGCCCAGACAATAAGACGCACACTGCGTAATGAAGGCCTCCGTGCCAGAACTCCCAGGCGTACCCCCTTGCTGTCTCCAAAGAATAAGAAGAGTCGACTGCAGTATGCCAAAAGCCATGTGGACAAACCACAAAAGTTGTGGGATAGTGTTCTGTGGACTGATGAAACAAAATTAGAACTGTTTGGGCCCATGGATCAACGCTATGTTTGGAGGAGGAAGAACAAGGCCTATGATGAAAAGAACACCTTGCCTACTGTGAAGCATGGTGGAGGGTCAATCATGCTTTGGGGCTGTTTTGCTTCTGCAGGTACAGGGAAGCTTCAGCGTGTGCAAGGTACCATGAATTCTCTTCAGTACCAGGAGATATTGGATGGAAACGTGATGCAGTCCGTCACACACCTGAGGCTTGGGAGACGTTGGACCTTTCAACAGGACAATGATCCCAAGCATACCTCCAAGTCCACTAGAGCATGGTTGCAGAGGAAAGGCTGGAACATTTTGGAGTGGCCATCGCAGTCACCAGACTTAAATCCGATTGAGAACCTCTGGTGGGACTTAAAGAAAGCAGTTGCAGTGCGCAAGCCTAAGAATGTGACTGAACTGGAGGCCTTTGCCATGAAGAATGGGCGAAGATACCCGTAGATCGCTGCAAGACACTTGTGTCAAGCTATGCTTCACGTTTAAAAGCTGTTATAACTGTAAAAGGATGCTGTACTAAGTACTAAGATTGAATGTCACTTGGGGGTTGAATAAAACTGATAATGCTGTGAGCACAGAAAAGACATTTGTGGTTATTTCATTATAACTGTTATGTTATATTTGTCTGACCTACAAGTGCCTCTTTAATGTAAATGTAAGCAAGATGACTGAATGATCAAAAGCAATGTCAAAACTGGCCAAAACACTCAATTTCAGTGGGGGTTGAATAATTTTGGCCACAACTGTATATCTTTTATTAAGTATCAGTGACATGGCTTTGGAGACAAAGCCCACATAAAAAAATACATTTTAGGTTTTTTATGAGTATCTGTATTCTCAGCACCTGCATTTTCAGTACACACATTTTTAATGATCTGTCATCTTTGATGGTATTTTTGTACCTTATAAGAGACAGTTGCTAATTTTATGAATTTTGTGGATATTGAATAAATTACTTGGCTGATATTTTAGTTTGCTTTTTTTCTGTGAAATCAAATCAAACTTCTGGTAATTTCTGCATGTGTGCTATTACATACAAATACATAGATTAGCTTGGGCTGTATATCTTGCTTGTAAATATTCCTTTGTATTCTGACTCAGATATCTGATGCCCTAAAGCTGCAGTGTACTAGACTATTTAAAGTGGTTGTAATTTTTAGACATGAAATATGACCAAAGTATATCCCTCTATCATGTGTACTTGTTTAAATTAAGAGCACACAGTGGTTTATTACTAAATCTGGAGAGTGCAAAATCAGGCTCACTTCTGCATAGAAACCAATCAGCTTCTAACCTCAGCTTGTTCAATGAATCGGGCACTTTTACCCCCTTCCTGCCCAGTAGGGCCAGATCTAGCCAGTCTGATGTGGGGGTGAAGTAAAAAAAAAGGTCAGGGGGCAGGGGATGGGAGGTCAGCAGGACAGTGTACAGAAACAGAAATCAGTAGGGCAGAGTACAGTTGATTAGCAGGGCGGTGTCAAATGTGTGGATGTTAAGCTTTGGCAATAAAACCTCAAAGCTGATTGGTTTCTATGCAGAAGTGAGCCTGATTTTGCACTATCCAGCTTTAGTAAATAAACCCCTAAGTGCCATTTCTATCTGCGGCCTCATTCTGCTGCTATCTGCATGAGTCACTTCTGACATATTTTCCTGACACCAAAAGAGAAATGGTGACAGGGAGAGACCTCCAGCAGATTGACAGCCTCTGTTCTGTTCCTGTGATCTGTCTGTCTCTACCCTCCAATAAGCTTTCAGAGCTCCCCTCGCTGAGCTCTGCAGTGTGTAATTTCAGCTCTACTCCCCCTTTTTTCTGAACTCTGACAAGCTTTAAAAATTCTGCACTTTGAATGGATGTAGAGGACAAAAGTGGCAGATAAACAGGTACAACTTATGTAGGAGGATTTGTTTCATCTCTGAGTATCACTTGAGGCCAGTCACTTCAATGGGTATATGTAAGGGTTGAAAACCACTTTAAAGCAAAAATCTACTGCCTGGGGGGTGCTATGACTCTTTCTTCCCAAGTGTGCCCTCCTACAGTGATGTGGCATTCATGTTGCCCCTTATTGATTCATCCATGGCCACTGATATTTTTAGTTGTATTCCTGGTCCTCCTTAGGTCAGCAACAGATGATTCAAATCCTGTACATACATTCTGCTCCAACATCATGGCAAGAGCCAGCACCATTCCTGTAATCCTACAGGTTGCAGAAATGAGTATGGAGTGTACACTGTGCAGTTTTTTGGCAGATGAACTCTTCAGCTGAAAAAAAAACTATGCCTCTTATCAATAGACGAGTGCATGCCAGAAAGTTTGATTTTATTTCTTTTCAGATGCATTCATTAATTGAAGAATTTTGTTTGTCATATTCGTTATGTTGATCTGATTTGTTTTCAGAATTCATTTTGTATCTTCCACGTTTGTTTTCGTGTATTCATTGGTCTGGGTGGATTAAAAATATTTTGTAGTTTTTCTGGAAGATTTCTATTAATTCTATATATTATCAAATCAGATAGATTCAATATTTTTGAATGCTAACCCACAAAGAGAAATTGCATGAGCTGATTGGACAAAATTGACTGCCATCATGTGCATCCAAATTAAATAATGGAACAAAATTTGGATCCATTAGTTTTTCAAATCCAACTTATCGAAGAAATTTGAAACTTGAATTAGTTTACCAATGGGCCCGAACTGCTATGGTATCATGTAATGTCATCTGAATGAAACAAATGCATTCATCAATTTCATTATAACTGTTTTCGGATTTGTTGCCATGCGTTTTTGTGTCGTTCAGAGATTTGTATACATCTGAATCTTCGAGAATTTATTTATTTTTTCCAAAAAGCAAATCAAAACAAAACGAATCACACATGTCTACCTATCAATTCTTTTTTTAGGTACTTTAGTTCCACTAGTTACAAATGTCAAGTTTCTCCTGGTCTTGGACATCATCCATAATTCCTAGAGCAGTGGACCTGTCAACAGCAGATTTAAAACCTGTTACACATTAGAGACATTTAGCATGTGTAACATATAGAGGCAGTGGCCAATAGCAGCCATGCAGTTACAGTTGTGAATTTTTGCCAGTGCACTAGAGCGCTTCATGCTATCGTATCTATTTCTAATATGTGGTTCCTGTAAATATTGTAAACAATAATTTCAGCAAGTTCTCAGGGCCTTTATTTATTTTTTGATTGCCTTTCAGAACCAAGACATACTCTATATTGGCAAAAGTATTGGGAAACCCCCCAAATCATTTGATTCAGGTGTTCCAATTACATTCATGGTCACAGGTGTATAAAATCAAGCACCTAGGCATGCAGACAGCTTCTACAAACATTTGTGTTGCTCTCAGGAGCTCAGTGAATTCAAGCCTGGTATCGTGATAGGTTGCCACCTGTGCAATAAGTCCATCCGTGAAATTTCCTTGCTACTAAATATTCCACGGTCACCTGTTAGTGGTATTATAACAAAGTGGAAGCAACTGGGAACAACAGCAACTCAGCCAAAATATGGTAGGCCACCTAAAATGACAGAGCGGGGGCAGCGCATGCTGAAGCGCACAATGCACAGACGTTGCCAACTGTCTGCAGAGTCAATAGCTGAAGACCTCCAAACTTGGTGTGTCCTTCAGATTAGCACAACAACAGTGCATAGAGAGCTTCATGGAATGGGTTTCCATGGCTGAGCAGCTACATCCAAGCCTTAAATCACCAAGTGTGATGCAAAGTGTTGGATGCAGTGGTGTAAAGCACACCGCCACTGGACTCTAGAGCAGTGGAAACATTCTCTGGAGTGACAAATCATGCTTCTCTGTCTGGCAATCCGATGAACGTGTCTGGGTTTGGCGGCTGCCAGGAGAACGGTACTTGCCTGACTGCATTTTGCCAAGTGTAAAGTTTGGTGGAGGGGATTATGATGTGGTGTTGTTTTTTAGGGGTTGGGCTTGGCCCCTTAGTTCCAGTGAAGGGAACTGTTAAGGTATCAGCATACCAGGACATTTTGGATGATTTCATGCTCCCATCTTTGTGGGAACAGTTTGGGGATGGCCCCTTCTGTCCAACATGACTGCGCACCAGTATACAAAGCAATGTCCATAAAGACATGGATGAGCGAGTTCGGGGTGGAGGAACTTGACTGGAGTCCTGACATCAACCTGATAGAACACATTTGGGATGTATTAGAGCAGAGACTGTGAGCCAGGCCTTCTCATCCAACATCAGTGCCTAACCTCACATATGCGCTTCTGAAAGAATGGTCACACATTCCCATATACGCACTCCTAACCCTTGTGGACAGCCTTCCCAGAAGAGTTCAAGCTGTTATAGCTACAAGGGTGGGTGTGACGGAGGAAAGGCAGGACAGAACACACAGAGAGGATGACAGATGCACAAGCTTTATTGAGACAAACAGATGGCAGTCCTTCAATACGTTGGGTGGCAGAGAGGGTGGATTTGCCACTCAATGGTAACGAGGGTCCCCACCCACTTATAGTCCACTAGGAGAGCCAAGGGGGTGTCCCTGTAACAGGGGTAGTCCGACACATGAGAGGGGTGCCTGTAGTCACCACCGTAACAGTTCAGGTAACAGTGGGGAAGCAGGTACTCACGGAGAACAAGGGGTTCAGTCCAGGCAGGGGATAGATCCAGGCAGATTCACGGGGACAGCAGAAGATTCCTCCACAGTGCAGGGATTGCAGGCAACACAGACAGTCCAGGAGATGAGGAGGAGGACGGGGGATGAGAGGAGCTGGCGCTCAGCACAGCCGTCCCTCACACACACAGCCAGGAGAACACACACGGGGGTTTTCTTGCTCTCTCTTAAGTATTGAGCTGGTAACTAGATACTTCCTGTCGGGTTACCATGGCAATGGGTCCTGTCCAGAGAGTTCAGGAATTTGGCATGAGGGGGAAGGGAGGAGGGGTCCAGAGTAATTTAATTAGGCCATTAGGCCAGTGACACAGGGGACAATTGGAACAATACAGAGCAGGACTCTGAGGGCATGTGATACAAGGCATTAATAAGGGGATTCATAATTGGCAGGCTCCCATACCGCGACATGGGCCAACTCAATATTGAACCCTACGGACTAAGACTGGGATGCCATGTTCATGTTCAAGGTAAAGTCAGGCGTCCCAATACTTTTGGCAATATAGTGTATCACCACTGCATAATTACAATCTATTATTATTTTGTAAGACTTTTTCCATATTACCATAAAATAAACCAATTATTATTTGTAAGTCTTTTGGCCCTTGTCTCAGTTGAAAGAAAATAAATTTGAACATTGTAATTCTAGATTAGAGGAAGTTATGTCAATTTTGTTTTTGGTGAGTTAAAATGTCAACACTTTGCTTACTAAAGTATATAATGCAAAAAGCCTCCAATTACTTATATCTATATATACCTACTTATTTATCATTGTTTAACACAGAAACTCATGTATTAAAGCAACAATGTCTGTATGTGTATTCTGCTATTCTCAGCTTTACTCAGTGAAAATCTGTGAGGTTTTAATCATTATCTGGGATCTCACAGGAGAGACTTACCCCCTATTTGTCCTGGTAGCCTTCATAGAAAACCCATTAATTTACAGTTTTCCTCAAAAAAGATGTATGGTGAATTTTCCACTTGGAAAATCCATTTCAGTGACAACTATCTAAGATCTCTTGGGCAAGAAGCAAACAAAAAACTCTCTAAAGGGATACTGAACAAAAAATGGGGACAGAAATCATTCTTTAAAATATGTTGTTTCTAGTGACTCCATGTCTAGTAGTATTATGTCTGAAAGTCTCCTGCTCCTGTTAAGTACATTGCTGTTTTTGTGACAGTGATAAAACAGTTTGAGTCTTCGGCTCATCACTAAGGTCCACCAGGCATCAGTCACCATTATTAGGTCTTTATATTGGCACTATTAGCTTCAGTTTTAGCAACAGTGAAAGATGTGAAAAATTATTATAGAGTGGGGCAGTGCAGCAGCAGGGTGGGAGTTGGAAACATTGATTAATTTCTTTGTAGCAATCATTTTTCTCTTTTTATCTGTGAATCAAATAAAAAATGATGGCATCAGTAAATTTCCATGAAATGTTATGAGTAGAATGATGATGTTATTGAAATAGATGGACAGTCCAATAACTGAAGTCCGGTGATAACCGCAAAGCAAATTTTGACTGCATTATTTCTAGAGCTGGGTTATAACTTTCACAGCATTTCAAATCTGTGGAGTCTTTTTGCTGAGGCCTTTGTTCAGATCCACTCCAAAGCTATTTTAATTGGCTACCAGCCTTTCTTTTTCCTGAACTCCTGAAAATATTCACAAAGAATCTTGGTATAAAATAACCATTATTAATGTACCCAATCATAACCCAATTTTGTTATTTTATAGGAGCCTTTAAATACCAAATTACCAATGTTGACAGAATGAAACATAGCCATGCCCAAGGTCATCATACTATCTCCCAAATACAGATCAGTTTAAAGTGAAACTTTAGGTAAAAAGTAAAAATGGGCAGACAGGCAGGATTTTAATGTAGAAGAGACATGCTTTGTCATTACCTGTCTATTCCTGTACAGTGAGCCACGCAGGTGCAGCTCACAATACAAATTCGGCAATGCTGAATTTGGAAGGACACCTGCGCAAAGATGTCAGCAGCCAGGTGGGGAACTCCAGGACAGTGCATTGTGAGAACGGAGGAGAGTATTGTTCCTCTTTAAGCACCTGATTCTTAAACTGGTTAATGTCTCCACATTGAGCATTTGTACTGTGGTGCACTGTAGGGAATGCAGTTATGAAGTGCAAAAATTGTACATGGTTCTTGTAGTGAAAGGTTCTGGAGTTGCCTTTCTTATACTGAATCTGCCTATAGTGGGGCTAAGCTCAGAGTTTTTTTCCTGTTAAAGCACATTAAAGGTTTAGTAGAGTGGAATGGGAAAGGTTTATAATCTATATAAGTTAAATTTATTGCCACCAGTGTCAATGTTAGGGATATTTCTCCTCTTTGCCCTGGTAACCAACCAGAAAGTGGGGGCACAGATAGCAATAAAAAAATTGACAGAGTTTATTACACATCCCTACTTCACATTAAAACAAACTTTATTATGATTTATACCCTCCCAAAGGGATTTTTCTTTTTCAGTTAACACAGGATGTGATGGAAAATGTATTATGACATAGACAACAGCCAGTATATAGCACAGACATGCAAGTTTTATTGTGAAATAAATATTAGGGTGTAATTACAACAGGGAATAAATAGCTCAAACACATTGCTCATCACATAAGAGGTATCACTAGGTCACAATGTGAGATGGATAAACAAGCCTGGGTTTATCATGAAATAAAAATGTGTATTACAGTTGCAAGAAAAAGTATGTGAACCCCTTGGGATTACGTGGAGTTTTGCATAAATTGGGCATAAAATGTGCTCTGAACGTCATCTAAGTCACAACAATAGAAGAAAACAGTCTGCTGAACATAATACCACACAAACATTAGATGTTGCCATGGTTTAATTGCACATAATATGTAAACATTCACAGTGCAGGGAGGAAAAAGTATGTGAACCTTTGGACTTAATAACTGGTTGACCCTCCTTTGGCAGCAATAACCTCAACCAAACGTTTCCTGTAGTTGCAGATAAGACCTGCACAACAATCTGGAGTAATTTTGGACCACTTCTCTTCACAAAACTGTTTCAGTGTAGCAATATTCTTGGGATGTCTGGTGTGAATCGCTCTCTTAAGGTCATGCCACAGCATTTCAATCGGGTTGAGGTCAGGACTCTGACTGGGCCACTCCAGAAGGCGTATTCTGTGCTTTTGCAGCCATTGTTTTGTTGAATTACTTGTATGCTTTGGGTCATTGTCCTGTTGCATCACCCATCCTCTGCAGAGCTTCAGTTGGCGGACAGATGGTCGTAAGTATTCCTGCAAAATGTCTTGATAAACTCTGGAATTCATTTTCCCATCAATGACAACAATCCGTCCAGGCCCTGAGGCAGTAAAGCAGCCCCAAACCATGATGCTCCCTCCGCCATGTTTTACAGTGGGGATGAGGTTTTGATTGTGTGTTCTTCCCAAACAACTCAATCTTGGTTTCATCTGTCCACAGTATATTTTGCCAGTAGTGCTGTGGAACATCCAGGTGCTCTTTTGCAAACTTCAAACGTGCTGCAATATTCTTTTTGGACAGCAATGGCTTCCTCCGTGGTGTCCTCCCATGTACTCCATTCTTGTTTAATGTTTTCCTTATTGTAGATGCGTAAACAAAAATGTTAGCATGTGCCAGAGATTTCTGTAAGTCTTTAGCTGATACTCTGGGATTTTTCTTTACCTCATGCAGCATTCTGCGCTGTGCTCTTGCAGTCATTTTTACAGGACGACCACGCCTAGGGAGAGTAGCAACAGTGCTAAACTTTCTCCATTTGTAGACAGTCTGTCTTACCATGGACACGTGAACATCAAGGCTTTTGGAGATACTTTTGTAACCCTTTCCAGCTTCATGCAAGTCAACAATTCTTGATCGTAGGTCTTGAAAGCTCTTTTCTGCGAGGCATGGTTCACATCAGACAGTGCTTCTTGAAACCAGTAAACCCAAAACAGGTGTGTGTTTTTTTAAGGGCAGGACAGCTGTCAGCAACACATCCAATATCATCACACTGATTGGAGTCAAGGTTGGCTCACTCCTGGCTCCAATTAGCTCTGGGAGAAGTCATTAAGCTAGGCCCTCACATACTTTTTCCTCCCTGCACTGTGAATGTTTACATGTTATGTG